CCTTGGATCCAAAAATCAACCAAGTGCTGGATATTTTCTGTCTAATTTTACCTTCTGCTGACAAGTTTGTTGTTTTTAATTAAGCACAAAGCTACACAAGGGCTATCTGTGCTTTGCCCACCACGGGTATCGAAACCCGGTTTCTAGCGTTGTAAGTCCGCAGACATACCGCTGTGCCACTGCGGGGGGCTTCTGCTGACAAACGGAAAATCACTAACTGTAAAACAATAATGTTCAATCAATCATTGTCTTTATAAATAAATAATTCTGTTAGATTTTAAACAAAACGCCTTTTTTAGTTCAGCTACTTAAACGTTACACATAAGTATCTGGACTTCACGCTCCCCAGTGGCACAGCGGTATGTCTGCGGACTTACAACGCTAGAAACCGGGTTTCAATACCCGTCGTGGGTAGAGCACAGATAACCCATTGTGAAGCTTTGTGCATAATTACAAACAAACTGGACTTTCAAAATAAGCGCACTAATATATCACCGTCAAAGTATAGTTTCGTTTCGAGTTTACTTAGTGATTTAATGACAAGTTACTGTGATTGAAACGCCGTAATTGTTCTAAAAAATAACCTTTCTGACTGTAAAAGCTTGTAATAAAATAATACTGTCAAATCATGTTTGTGACACGTCTGCTATCACAACCTGTATGCGTGGTCTTCAGTTCTACTTTTACTTAAAACAACAAGTAATAAAAACACAAGTGTCTTGTTTGCTCCGATAAAGCGAAACGTCGGTTTAATATAAAACAATTATGTTTTCTGGAGTAATAGGTCGTGTTTTATTTATCTTTTGAACAGCGAATACAATTATCCAGCATGCACTACAAACTTTAAACTTTTATAAACTACAATGATGTTATAAAACGTGTTACATGTTTTTTGTCTAAATGGTATTTTTATTTTATTCTAAATATATTTTTATCTAAGAATGATTCAGTATTTAGTTTAAATATCTTAAATTTATATTTGTGTGGTTCATTGAGTTTTTGTCAGGAAATTTCATTTTTATTTTGAAGGTTTGAAAGCAGTTACTTGCGAACAGTGTGACAGAAGTGGATATCAACGATGTGTAAAACTAATGCCTCACTTCACCAACGACCCGGAAATGTTGCTCGTGGTGACGGAAGATAAGTTGAAAATCTTATGCCAGTAGGTTGTATTGTTTATTAAAAATAATTATTTAACAAATATACATGCGGCCTTTTTTATAGTGTTCCACGTTCTCTAGATTTGCTGTTAACGTATACAATTAAAATATATTTTAGTTTTAGGCAATTTTAAAGGCAGTGATTGTTTTCACCCGAAACTTGAATACTTAGGAATGAGTTTAATTAATGAGATGACAGAGTCTGATCACCCAGTAAGTGTAACGAGATGGAAGTATCTGTACACCCGGTAAATGTAACGAGATGGCAGAATCTGGTCACCCAGTAAGTGTAACGAGATGGAAGTATCTGAATACCCGGTAAGTGTAACGAGATGGCAGAGTCTGATCACCCAGTAAGTGTAACGAGATGGAAGTATCTGAACACCCGGTAGGTGTAAGAGATTGCAGTATCTGATCACCTGGTAAGTGTAAGGCGATGGCAGTATCTGATCACCCAGTAAGTGTAACGAGATGGCAGTATCTGATCACTTGGTAAATGTAAGGAGATGGCAGTATCTGATAACCCAGTAAGTGTAACGAGATGGAAGTATCTGAACGCCCGGTAAGTGTAACGAGATGGAAGTATCTGATCACCCAGTTAGTGTAACGAGATGGCAGTATCTGATCACCCGGCAAGTGTAACAATTTCGCTCTTTTGGAAAAACAGCAGTTTTTATTTTCCTGTTAAGATGAGAGATAATGGCGAAACCTTGTCTTTAAGAGAGAGAGAAAAAAATCATCACATATGAGAAAAAATAAGCTTCACATCCGTCTCCAGTTACAGACTTATAAAATTGTTGTGTAGCAGACATGTTTTACAAATAATATTTTTACTAATACGAACTTTGAAGTGATTTTTCATGGAACTTATCTTTTACCTAAATAACGAGTTGAGCTATCGTCTCTAAATATTTTTTTATAATAATAATGGTTCCATAATGAAATTTGAAAAAAACATTTTTGTTTTCGACTTTTGTAAAGCTTTCTGTTTATAACTTAGATAAAATGAGACGACAGAAAATCAGTTAGAACTAGAATTTGCGTGCTAAAAACGTCTTTCTGGTTTAGCGAACTGTCTATCACACGAAAGCTGGTATTTAAGTAGCATTTTTACTTAGTGTATGGTGTCACATGTACTATGAGCGTACGTCTGTTGTTTTTTTCTAGTTTTTCACAGGACAACACCTGCATAAAGTTCTATTAATAGTACGTTATATTAGTTTGCACATTTCTCTCCATTTCATAGCACTGATACTCTAAATATTACGAATTTAGTAGTGTTTAGTAACAGATTTACTTAATGAGTTTATAAGTAATTTCTCATTTAACAATATTTGATAACGATACTGGATCTCATTTCATTTTTTTTTGTTAACGTTCTGAGTGATTGCTATGTTAAAATAAGTTAGTAAAGACTGTCTTAGTTATCGATCCTTCAAATAACAATGATAATCTGGTTTGTGAACATTTCGGTATTAGTTTCAAATGTTTATTATTCATCAGAACATATATTTTGGTTTGTGTATAATGCACGTAATTGTTTTCTTTGGATGTTCTTTAAGACGTTTGTAGTGTAAAATGTATACAATAGTATCAGGAAAAAAAAAAGGTGTGTCATGTCAACAATAAGGAAAATTTGATATTTATAGAAATTTGACCCATTACCTTCTAAGAATGTTCAGGATCTTCCTTAGTTTATCATGCATTACTGTTAAAACTAGGCATACAAAAACTTTCTCCACTGATATAATTATTGTTTAAAACTAAGCATATAAAACTTTCTCCACTGATATAATTATTGTTTAAAACTAAGCATATAAAACTTTCTCCACTGATATAATTATTGTTTAAAACTAAGCATATAAAACTTTCTCCGCCGAAGAATGATATTTCAAATATTTCTCTTGATGCATCATGTTTTAGCACCTGCATACTTCGAATTGGTCTAAAAATGCTCAGTGAGCAGTGTGTGGAATAATTTTATTTCTATATTGCGTTATGAATATGTTTTATTTTCTGTGTAGGTAGATAAAAATGTTAATTTTATATATACGTAAAAAAAATCAAAACCACTTGGCACGCGGTATTGGTTTCCTTTTATGTTGATCTTTACATTTATATTGGTTCTTATATAACAACAACAAAAACGTGAACGATCTTAATGTACTCAAAACTAGAGAGTACAACTTCAACTAAGATAACTCTGGTAGTTTCATCCAATTATTGTAAAAACTAAAAGGTATATCCTTTGCAGTGAGTAAGGTTTCAGTATTAAGCATTTTTGCTGGAACTCCTACCAAACAACAGTCACAATTAGTGGACCCACAGTGTAAGGTTTAGTTATATTTTCTGCTCTCACTTCAGACGCCATAATGCTGCAATTCTAACTACAGCTGTATCTGACTATCAGGTACCTCGTAGTAAAAAAATAATAATGTTGAAACCGCATATCACACACATATAAAAACAACGCAGTTCAAAAATGTATGAAAAGATACGAAAGATGGATCTTTGGTATAAAAAACTTAAAAAAACTTAAATGTTTGTTTACTCTTAGAACAGATACAGCAGCATTCTCGTATGCATTAAACAAGTGGGCGAAGGTGTGGGCGTCCTATTTTACTGGAAAGAGAAAAATATACCAAAGTTCAACTATTGTTCTGTTGAAAGTTACTTAGTGGTGTCAGGTTTACAGGCAAATGAGTTTTTGCAGAGTTTAACATATTTCTCGGTAAAGTTGTAGATGAGAATAAATCATTTAAACTACCGATCATCAAACACAAGAATATTTCGGTGACAGATAGGTGGCGCTTCATGTTAGGAGTTAGTCAGTCCTTATCGTGGATGCTATTTGAAGCTGGTTAAATTGCTCGTTTCTTCGTAATGATAATAACGACAATAGAAGGAAAGAGAACAACAACAGAAAATAAAACAAAACTCCGTAACGAAACCGCTGAACCTGCTGCTATCAATACAAACAACAAGTACGAATGAGTGGAATATAATACACAGACCTGCGATGGTTTTATTGTCTTGAACTTTTTCCATGTTCTACAGTCATTCTTGTACGCTGAATCCGAAAATGATATCAATTTTTCTCCACCACGTACAATTTTTTTACAAAACGTCATAACGC